TTACCAAGTTGATTTTAAAGCCATATAGGATAAGGTCCACTCATCCCAGCATGGGACATCACATGGTCCTGCTGGTGTTTGCCTGTTCATCTCTCTCTTCTGTTTCCCTCTATTCCTACACGAATGGGATGACTTACAGACTGCTGCAGGTGCCCAGTTTCATGGCCTCTGTATTTCCACGCACAGTTTCCTCTATCTACAGTGATCCCTCTGCTGCACACACCGACAGTTTCACGCCCCCCTGCATCTCCACACACAGTTTCCTCTGCTGGTGGTGATCCCTCCACCCCCACCCCACCCACCACTCTCCATTCAGTGATCTCCTTAGAGACCCCCAAGAAGCTTCCCCTGACATATCTCCATCAACAAGCCCACTGTGAACTTCTCTCTTTTCTGTCATCTAAACAGGCACAACTGGGAAGACTTTACTGCCCAGTCCATGTTTCTAGTTCCAGGGAGAATTACATCGTTTTCTAAAAAATAAAGGGGAATGAAGCTTTAAAGTGTTTGTATAACCCTGTTGAAATTCATGACACATTTGTGACCTCCTGAACATCTGGAACACATGAGCTTAGAGGCTTCAGCTCTAATGTTGAGGCACCCAAAATAGACAGTTCTATCCAGGGAGCCCTGAGATTAATCTTGTCACACTTAAATATGTAATTACAGCCCTGCCACATTTTGTTACTAACCTCTAAAAGCTGCCAAGTGGCCCGTGTCTTTGATTTGTGAATGATGAGTGGCTTGACTATAAACAAAGTGGTTTATTTTTCCACATTCAAAAATATATTTAGGTTTGAAGTTAATATCAGCAAAATGCTGTATGCAAATCTGCTTGAAAATATGCATTGTTTGGGAATTTTGTGGCATGTGAAATAAGCTTTGTTCCTTAACGAGCTTTCTTCTCCCCCAGTCTTAATGACACAATTTACAGTGTCATTGGGTCATTACATATGGCTGCTGGGAAATTGGACTGGGGTCAGGTAGGTCACTGAGAAGAAGAGTAAGAACACACGACCCCTTCAGCTCTCCTTCACCACTTGATTATTACGGACAGGGAAGGGGTGTGTAAGTGTGCCTGTGTGTCAGTAAATACCAGGGGAGTGGATGCGCAGGACATGAGGTCGTGAGTAGGTGTTAAACAAATTTCTACTTGTATTCTCCCTTGATGTAAACAGAGAATGCCCTGCTTTGCTGCAGAACAGAAAAAATTCTAAACAGTGGTTCTCAACAAGTATTTGGAACAACAGCATCAGCATCACTGTGGAATTGTTAGATATGCAAATTCTTAGGCCCTGCCCTGGACCTTCAGAATTGGAAAGTCTGGAAGTGTTGCCTCACGATCTCTCTTAATGAGCTCAGGTTTTTTGTTGTTGATGTTGTTTTTGAGACAGAGTCATGCTCTGTCACCCAGGCTGGAGTGCAGTGCCTCAATCTCAGCTCACTGCAAACTCCTCCTTCCGGGTTCAAGTGATTCTCCTGCCTCAGCCTCCTGAGTAGCTGGGATTACAGGCGCCCACCACTATGCCCGGCTGATTTTTGTATTTTTAGTAGAGATGAGTTTTCACCATGTTGGTCAGGCTGGGTCTCAAACTCCTGACCTCATGATCCACCCACTTTGGCCTCTCAGAGTGCTGGGATTACAGGCATGAGCCACCGTGCCCAGCGAGCTCAGGTATTTTTATGCACATTCAAGTTTGAGAGCCATTGTTTTGTTTTTCATTTGTTTGTTTGTTTTTAAGGTAGAATCTCACTATGTCACCCAGGCTGGAGTGCAGTGATGCCATTTTGACTCACTGCAACCTCTGCCTCCCAGGTTCAAGAGATTCTCCTGCCTTAACATCCCCAGTAGCTGGGATTACAGGCACATGCCACCACCATGCATGGCTAATTGTTTTTTACTTTTAGTAGAGACAGGGTTTCGCCAGTCTGGTTTCAAACTCCTGACCTCAAATGATCCGCCCATCTTAGCCTCCCAAAGTGCTGGGATTACAGATGTGAACTACTGCACCTGGCCAAGAGCCATTGTTTTAAACAACCTTTTAAACCAAGGTTTTTGATGAAAATGTAGGAACACTATGTTCTAGGGTAGTTAGGTTGATATAGGCATATATACTTACTTACTTATTTATATTTAAAGATGGGATCTCCCTTTGTTGCTCAGGCTGGAGTGCAATGGCTCAGTCAGCTCACTGCAGCCTCAAATTCCTGCACTCAAGCAATCCTTCTGATGTAGGCATTTTGATTCTGCATTCCGAATATGAATAATTGTTAGAAGAATCATGAAAATGACCAGTATTTACTGAAGGCCATCTCAGGCTGGGAACTGTGCTAAGTATTCCAGGGACATTATTCCACTCACTCCTCACACAACTCACAACTACCCCACAAGGTAATACTTGTTTCCCAATTATAAAGTGAAGGAATCTAAGGCTCAGCGAGGTTAAGTCCCTTGTCCAAGGTCACACAGCATGCAGTGTCTCTTGCCGTGCTCCTGCACTCTGACTTCTGATCCCGGGCTGTGAAACACTGTGCTGTCCTTTGTTTATCCTTTGTTAGCTGAAGCTCTGGTTCTGGGGCAGGATGACCTTTAGCTCTAGGGTATTCAATTTATTGCTGCTCTGGACCATTGCTGCCAAACTCATTTCCAGTTGAAGCAGCTGGGTTTTCTCACACATATAACTTTGTCAAGTGTTCTCAGCTGAGCTGAAGCTGCACAGCAATCACTCATCAGATCCTGCCAAGGCCAAAGATATGGATGAAAATCTGCAGGAAGAAATGTCTAGCCTGGGATTGCAGGGCAGCAAAAGTTTCCCTAGAGGGCCCTATGAAGGGGTTCTTGTCACACATGTTTAATTTCAGTCTGCGATAAAAAGTGGGCATGTTGGGTTTCCAGTTGCAAGCTTGTACATAAATGGTAGGTGGGTTCTACTGTCATTGCAACGAGGCACAAATGACCACTGATCAACTGCAGCTTAACACCGAAGTTTCACATTTGCATGTGAAAGTGTTAAGTCCGGTCCCACATCTGCAAATGGGATCTGCCTCCCTCGCTGTTCATATGAGAAATACAGAAACACAGAAAATCATCTGTTTATATCTGCAAGATTTTTTTTCATCAATAAACCTCAGAGGGCTGCTGAGAGCTGAATAAACATGTTCTGTGACTAAGCTGGAAAGTTCAGATCAAAGGTAAGGAGTGATTGGGTACTAGGATTTGATTTAAAGCATCACACCAGTGTTTCCATGAGAAGTCAGGGTTCTAGCTAGTTTTCTGACTTACAGTTGTGTGACTTGTGCAAGCCACTGAATAATTACAGATAGCTCGGTCGCTTCAATGCTTAGGTAAATGCTGCTCCGTGCAGTTGTGCAGTGCACAGCTTATGCAGCTGCAAGCTGCAATGTAAATTTCATCTAATGATGTTAATCCTACGTACTGCACATCAAGATTGTAAGATGGAGGGCGTTGGGTGCAGATTTTCAATACAATAAATTCACTATGCAAATATACTTTTTCTGCCCCAGTTTCCTTCAGATTGAGACAAGTAGAAGAACCCAGCCTCTTAGGAAGGGGCTTGTGAAAGTGAACTTTAATTGCTGATTGTGATTCAGCAGCTAGAAGTTACTGAAAGTGATGTCCTTTTTGCGTATATTTACTTACTTCATGCACTTACCTCCTGTCCATTCTCCACATATGCAACAGGACATCTCAGGCCAGGCTGACCTCTCCTGCATGTAACTTCCTAACTCTCAGTTTCAGTTCTTGCCCTTTTGGCATTGAATCATGACAGCTTCCCGTTTCCCTCTACTTAGAATATTAGCTGACACGCTGGAGGCTTAACGAGTAGAGACCAGTCCCCTTTTGTTGATTTGATCTCATCTTCATTAAAGATGTTTTAGGAATGTTTTATGCAACCCAGCAAGAGCTTGGGCTGCATAGGTATATGCAGCTGTCAGAACTGGCGAGCCTATACTTAAGCATAGTGAATTTCATTGTATCTTAACTTGACTCAAAAGAAGAAAATCTGTAAACACATATTGAATGCTGACGAATACTGTGATGCTAAAGTATTTGAGGGAAGCGCATTATGTGCCCATTTTACTTTGCTATGTGTCAAAAGATAAGGTGGATTAATGAATGGATGTGTGATGGATAGAAGCACTCTTAAATAAGAAAGCAAAGTGAAGTGAATGTTCATGAGAGACTCAAAATCGTCACTATATGAATTGTTTTTGAATTTGCTATATGTTTTAAAATGTTTTATAATCCAATATTAGAGAAAAAAGAATGTTCTAACTCTATGCTGCTCAAAATAGGACTTTTATTTCAAGTGTCAAGGTGGTTTTTTTGTTTGTTTGTTTTAGAGATGGGGTCTCATTCTGTCACCCAGGCTGGTGTGCAGTGCGTATGGCACGATCCTAGCTCACTGCAGCGTCCAACTCCTGGGCTCAGATCCTCCTCCCACTTCAGTCAAGGATGTTTTTGCTTTTTTAATTTTTTAAGAAGCAAAATTTCCCCTTTATTACTGATAAAGGCCAAGATGGAAGGTATGGCTCACTGTGAGGGCCAATCGGGCTGGCTAACTGAAGGGTGGAATTTAATAGACAATCCACCCTGTTGTAGGCAGACCTGACGTACCCCAGAGGTCGTGGGCTGGAGGTGGGCCTCACCAGGTAACACTTGAAGTCCAGCACTCCTAACTGAGGGGAGTAGGCAGATCACTCTCAATAGGAAAAAGACAAGGAGTAATTTTCGATTTTTATACTCATGAGAAATGAACACAACTTTGTGTAAAATTAAATGTTTTGAAACTTTTCTACCTTAATGTGCCCATTGTTAAAGCCATCAATAGCCAGATAGGCAGCCTGTCCAAAGACATGCATTGGGAGAGTATATTCTGTGTTTCTTGTAAGCTTTAAATAGAGTTTACTCTGAATGAAAACTTTTCATGTGTTTAGAATATCCCTTTCTCTAAATTTCTTTTCTTTTACTTTTTAAGGTAATTGTTCGAGGTGGAGGACACCTTTTACCCTATGACCAGCCTCTGAGAGCTTTTGACATGATTAATCGATTCATTTATGGAAGAGGATGGGATCCTTATGATGGATAAACTACCTTCCCAAAAGAGAACATCAGAGGTTTTAATTGCTGAAAAGAAAATTGTTAAATCAGAAAATGTCATAGAAATAAGAAAATTACCTTTTCATATCTGCAGCAATAAAAATTATCCTTGAAACAAGTCAGCTTTTGTTTTTGGGGGGAGATGATTTATTATAAAATTAACATAAGTATGAGTAAGAATTACATGATTTAACTTAAAGGATGAAAGGAATGGATGATGTGACACTGAGACAGAGATGCATAAATGAAATTTTGGGGTCTTGAATAGGAATTTTTAATTTCTTCTAAGAGCAAGTGAAAAGTGCAGTTTTAACAAGCTGTAACAACATCTTTTTCTGTCAATAACAGAATTTTGGCATGCCATGCATATGAAGATGTTTGGCAAATATTATTGGATAAGAATAGCTCAATTATCATCCCAGATAAATGGATGAAGTTATAATCATTTTGGGGAAAAGCTTCTCAAATGTATCAAGTCTTAAAAGAATTCTTTGAAATAGAAATCTTATACATAAAATTAATGATGAAGCAATTCTTGATAAGCAGAGGATCTTATGAACAGAACAAACTTAATCTTTGCCTTTTCATTTTCTTTTTCCTTTTTTGAGTTTGTTGGTTCATTTGAGGTGTACACACTTCTCAAAGAGCCTGCAGGCTACTTTAGTTACAAGAGCCATTTTAATTTGGGCTTCAGATTCTCTACTTCTTTTCCCCAAATAAAGAACAACTAATTTTGTATAATTGTTAGAATATCAAAAAATTACGATAAGCTGGCATCAATATGTAAGTTTATAAATATGCATACATTAGCCATTTTCTAAATGAAATATCACATCCTGGCACATCTTTTTGATTTATGCATCATGTGCTCACATCTCTTTGAAATTCTACAAGACATTTGGCTTTTTCCACCTCGCTTCCTTCTCATATTACCCATCTATGAATTGGCTCACTGGAGAATTAAATTTAAAAATCAAAGTCTGTTCTTGTGGCAAATATTTTATGGAGTTTATTCTTTTAATTTCTCATTTTGTGCCTGATTTCATCCAGGTTTGTGATTTTCCTTTTTTAATTGTTCATTGTGCCCGTGTACTAGAAGTCATTAAATCAAATACTCTTCATCAAAAGCAGATTTTAATTATTGCAGAGAATAAACTGGGGCAGTGTAGGATGCAAGAAGTTTTTCATGTAGTCCCTTCTGCAAGTTAAATTAGCTGTATTTGGTCCCATATCTATGAACTGGAAAGGGCACTGACTGGCTGGGAGACCTGGGTTTAGTCTCATATGGATCACACATGCGCTGGATGTTTTTGGAGAAGTCACTTCACCATACCAGCCTCCCCAAAACTCAAGGAAGGTAGCCAGAAGAGGAGACTTCTGAAGTTCCTTCTGGTTCACATGTCACTGGAGTAGTACCTATTTTCAAGGGTACTACGAGATGACCCAGTTGATCCTCATTATTCAAGGATTCCATGTTTGCAAATGGAGTCTACTTGCTAAAAACTGCAATCCCAGTATCAGTACTTGCTCTTTTGAGGTCATGTACAGAGTGGCAAAAAATTTCAGTTGCCCAACATACACGCTCCCTGCTGGGGTCAAAGAAGGAGACACTCTGCCTTCTTGTCTCAGCTTTCATACTAGAAACAATTGCTTTTTTTTTTCTCCCTCTGTCACCCAGGCTGGAGTGCAGTGGCATGATCTCAGCTCACTACAACCTCTGCCTCCTGGGTTCAAGTGATTCTCCTGCCTCAGCCTCCCAAGTAGCTGGGATTACAGGTGTGTACCACCAAGCCAGCTAATTTTTGTATTTTTAGTAGAGACAGGGTTTTGCCATATTGGTCATGCTGGTCTCGATCTCCTGACCTCTGGTGATCCTGCCACCTTGGAGGATCCAGGCATGAGCCATCACGCCCAGCCCAGTTGTCCTTTTCTAACTGTCTGTTTTGTGCCACATTTTTTGGCATTTTTGCACTTTTTTGTGGCTGATTTTGCTGTTTACAATGGCCTCAAGCATGGTCCTGAAGTACTGTCTAGTGTGCAATAAGATTGTGAAGCAACCTACAGAGAAAATACAAGAAGTAGGTATTTTGGTTGTTCAGGCACGAGTTAAAGCGCTGTTGGCCCTGAGTTCCATGTTAATGAATCAACATTTTAAAGGTAACTAAGAAATATACTTAAGGTTATGTATTGATCGGTTGACAAGAATGTTGTGACCACAAGCCTGAAGGAACCTAAACCTGTATTTCTCTTAGAAGCAGTGGTTCGGAATTTGCTAATTCTGTTTGCATAGACATTATAGAACATAGCTACAGGGGATAAAGAGAATCGACTGTCTTTCTAGAGCACTTGGCATAGGGACTAGCACATGATCATAGCTCAATAAATGGAAATTGTAGATGTTTTCATTTTGATCATCTTCCTGACCCAGGTACTAGGACAGTAGGGAGTGCTGACCTGGCGGTGGGGACACAGTCGTCAGACTTCCAGGAGCAGTGCTAAGCAACTCATTTGAGGATACAGTTCCATGAAGATTGAATCTGGCAAGTAGTTTACTTTAGAAGAAGAAAGGGAAACTAAAGAAAAACTAGTGTTTGGATTTAATTGTAGAGAGCCCCTGGTGTAGAAACTCTCCAAGTACAGTGCGTGCCCTCCATAGATGTTCAAGACAATCCGTTACAGTCCAAGGAGAAAATACTAGGATGTCTGTCTATATTTGCTTCATTTCAAAATGAGAGCACAGTTCAGCTTTCCTAGTATTTAATGCTGGATTCTCACGATGCCCTCTCTCAGTTCAGACATGAGACAGATGTCTCATGTGACTGCAATTGCTGTAAGCAGACAACATCTGCAAAGACAGAAAGGCACATGGAAGAGGTCCACAGAAGCATCTTCTCACGGTCCTGCATCTAGCATATTGCCAATAATTGCACTGACATTCATATAGGATGTTGTCAGTATGATTCGTTTGATAAAAACAAAGCCTTCAAAGAGTAGGACGATTATAACACTTTGCAATTTGATGGCCAGTGGTCAAGGGGGACTTCTGTACCACACTGCTTGTCTCATTGTAGTGCATTTAAAGGAGTTGTGGAACCTGAGGCTGAGTCATGGATCCTTTCTTTGACAAAAAGAAGTGCTGCAGAAGTGCCGTCATGGTAAGTGGTGATTGTTAGTATGTCACCTAGCAGATATTTTTTAAAAAAGTAAACACACAATCCACCTTTTCAAGGTAGAAGTGATCTTTTCACTTAGTGAAATTAATTTGTGAGAAAGTTAACTTTTCAAAAGAAAGTGAATATGGTAAGAGCCTTTTGAAAACAGATGTTTGGAAATGTTCCCATCTTACTATATGCACATTACAAAAACAAAACTAAAATAAAAAAACCTTAAAAGCAAGGAAAATTTCAACAATTGTCTTTGTGTAATAGATGAAACTGAAAAATGAGATTTGGGAATTACTAAAGCTCATCTGGTGAGGCATTTTTTTCTTTTGGATCTACATATCTATGCTGAGTGTCTTTTTCAGCTCTGACGGGCTTTGAAACCAAGCATTGAACTGTATAGCCAGACGATTGAATGGCTGTATCACAAAAGGGTAACCCAAGACTTTTTGAAAATGACAAGGTATATTCAAAACATTGTCCTATCGAAGATATTAACAGTAATATTTTAGAAAGCATTTTACCATTAAAAATCAAATACAGCCAGGCGCAGTGGCTCAAGCCTGTAATCCCAGCACTTTGGGAGGCCGAGGCGGGTGGATCACGAGGTCAAGAGATCGAGACCATCCTGGTCAACATGGTGAAACCCCGTCTCTACTAAAAATACAAAAAATTAGCTGGGCATGGTGGCATGTGCCTGTAAGCCCAGCTACTCAGGAGGCTGAGGCAGGAGAATTGCCTGAACCCAGGAGGCGGAGGTTGCAGTGAGCCGAGATCGCGCCATTGCACTCCAGCCTGGGTAACATGAGTGAAACTGTCTCAAAAAAAAAAAAAAAAAATTTTTTTAAATTATTTAAAAATTTCATTTTTATCCTTTTGCAGTTTCCACTTTGATTAAAATTTCATAATGTAAATATTGTTAGTACAGTAGTGGCATGATTATACTTTATAAATTAAGTAATAATTTTATATATGATATATTTATAAAATATATATTATCAATACAATTATGAAGATATATATAATAATTATATGTTATATAATAAACATATAATTATTTCTTCCTTTATAATCATGCCACTGCTGTATTAACAATAATTACATTATGAAATTTTAAATTTAAGCCAATATATAAATATATAAAATATATATATTATATATGTATCTTCAGTAATTTTTTTAATGATAAAGTTGAAAGCAAAAAGATTTGGAGACCACTGTTTGAGATGACAGAAAGTCTAAAAGTAACCTTAAACTTTGTTCCAATTTTGTTATGTTATTTAAAAAGGCAAGGCATCTAACAATATATGATTCTTTTATATGAAAGAAAAGGAAGGAAAGACACACACACACACCCTTGAGTTTTCACAGCTAATGGCAGAGCCCAACAGGAATCAAAGCGGGTCTCTGTTCATCCCCATCCTCTTCCCATAAGGCACCCTGCTCCCGATCCCTCAGCTCTTCCTGTCCTATCAGTGGGTAGGCGTTAGGGTCTGTATTGTCATTAATAACGGGCTTTACTTGGAAAGTGGTGTAAACCAGATCACTGGAAACTTTTTGATGCAGTATCCGCTCTGGAGACCCAAGAGGGGCTAATGTAAATTTGGATTGTGATTCTCTGGAAAGGACTAACAGCTTTCATTTAATTATTGATTGATGTGAAGTTCCCAAGTTATATTTTCTAATGCCACCAAAAATATGACAGTTAAGACCAGAAACCAAGGGCTAAGATCTTGTGGCCAGCTGCTTGACTTAAACCCTATTTCCTGAGGAAAGTTTGGTGTTCCCTTTGTTTCTTCTTGTGAATAACCGGCCTCTGACTCTTAGTGCTAATGATAGATGGGCCTGGGCTGTGTCCATTTTGTCCCATGTAAGCCTCTGGCTCTAAACTCAGAAACCATTTCATTCTCCATGCTGGGTCCCTGAGGGGTTGCCCCCGGTGGTCAGGGCCAGCTGC